AACTCGTGATCTCGAGACAACTAGATGTATCACTCCTTTGAGATTGTTTTGATGATAAAGAGGGATACAGAGTACAAACAACCTGTGAGAATACTCTCTCTTTGCCCTGTTTGCTCTCTATTGTAGCAAGGAAAAACCAGACACAACACGGTCGAGTCGAGAGATCCTGAGGCAAGGCGCGTAACCAAGACCTCCGGGAACTCAAGACGAACACAAACAAGGGTAATCACCAAGTGTTCCAATGGTGACGTCCAAGTCTTGAGGACGGTCAAAAATGGGGTGTCTACAACTTCATTCTTATTGACCTTCGAGTGAATCACATTGATTACTCGAGGTCCATCTGCTTGCTACGGAGGAGATGGTGGTGGAGGCGGTGCTGTCAGTGCCTGAGGAAGCCTTGCATGCTCATCCCTTGTCCTGGCCTTATCTACCTAGTCTCTCAGGTGACCCTGTCTGACCAGATCTTTTAAGTATGATTTCAGAGCCTTGCACCTTGAGTCAAGTGATCATCCTCATTATGGTAAGCACAATGCTTCCCAATGCTCCTTCCCATAAACTCCCCAGGGATCTTCTCCGGCGCTCTGTAATATGGATGGTTCTTGATCCTCTCCAAAACTTTGTAGATTGGGATCCTAAATACTGTGGTGACTGCCTGTGCAGTTCTTATCCATGTTTCCTGCCTGTCAAGACCCATATTACCTCGGCCTCGCTTCGGCGAGCCGTTTCTCCTTTCTGGCTTGGATGTCCTCGTCCCCTGTGTGTCTTTTTCCGCACAGGCATACTTATCAATCTGTGCCATGAGCTCTTCCATGCTCTTCGGAAGGGTTTTGGCAAGTGATTTCCGAAGTAAGCATTTATCCTTCAAGCAATTCTTGAAAGACACGACCGCCAGCTCCTGGTTATAACTTGAAATCCGGTTGTACACCTCGTAATATCTCTTGGTGTAAGCCCTGAGGCCTTTGCCATCGTTGATCTTCAAAGCCAATAGAGAATCTATTCTTAGTGGCTGCGATTTGTTCGTAACAAACCTGGTCACAAACATCTCGGCCATGCCTTCCCAAATCTTCATAGTTCCTTTCGGCAACTTATGGAACCAATTAGATGCTATCTCCCCAAAGGATAAGGGGAATACCTTACACAACAACTGCTCATTCCAGCTCCACAAAGCCATTGAATTTAAGTATAAGCCGATAGATCAGACTTACCATCGTAAATCTGAACCTTGGCATGTGGAATTTCTTTAGGGCCTCAAAACGTATCTAACTCCACCTTGAATGACGTCCTCGGCTTGATAGTGGATGTGATCTCGACGTTGAGTCGCTTCCTTTGGAGGTAGTCTCTTAAATCCTCCTTCATCCTACTAGGAGCTTGGTTATCAATAGATTTTAGCTTCTTTAGCGTGCTGCTCCAGGTGTAATTGTGCATCTGCTTGGACTTCCCATTGTCCACTGCATCAAAACAGAGGCCCTTTCCTTGGATATGCCGAGATTCTTTGACATAGGTCTCCTTGGTTCGTGGTGTCTTTTGCGACTCACCTCGTACAGACTCTGTTCGCTCGACATCTCGTGACGGCCGATGTGAGTGCTCCTGTCCCTTGCCATGCTATGGGACTATTGGGGCTATTTTCTGCCCTTCTTTCTGGGCATCAGTTTTAGCTACTGGTGCCGGCGTGTCCTGTAACGGGAATGGTGGTTGTATCACGTTGTTTTGTATCATAAAGTTGACAACCGACTGTAGGTCTACCGATTTGTTTGTCATTCCGTTCATCTCGTCCTCCCTCCTCAGGCATCTATCCTTCTATACCTAGAGGTCGCTTTCATTGTAATACTCATCTCAACATCCCTTCTTTGGGATGTTATGCTCTTTGTCGTCATCCTTTTCGCCGAGATTCTGTTCCTACACTCCTTCGTTACGAGTTTCCTCCCTTACATTAGGATCCACATGCTTCTCACTCTCACTGTGGATGTCGTCCCTAATCTTTTCTTCATGCCCGTTGTTGGCCATCTATTCTCCTTAAGTTCCCATAGACGACTCCAAATTGTGGGTGTTGATTTTCGATCACACAACCAAAGAGGGAACTCAGTTGGAGAGCACTAACAGGATAGATTAAGCCCAATAACCTGTAACAAGAAGTAAGAATACCGTGGTGGTTCGCCACCTGGGGAGACTCTGACGATCAAGTCAGTATTCTCTCACAGATATGAAATCAATGTCTAGCTCACAAGTTACTGCTCAAAGTATATCACACATACCTGAGACTCACAAGGGTGCCTCTCTTTTATAGCCATTAGTGCCCAAATTCCCTAGAAGTCTCACTTCATAAGACTTAAGCACATAATGTTTATCTCGAACTCTCAGTTAGATAGGGATAAACTCCCTAAGAGCTTTATCATTATCCAAAATAGATCTGTCACGACCCCAAACCGCCCCTAGTAGTTTGGTGCCGTGATGGCCAGTAATCCGTAATTACCGAAGGCCAACTTTCAAAAAACTTGACACTATCAGAGTATGGATATAGGGGGCTCACAAATGCGGAAGCAATAAATCAAATACGAGTGGTCCATAAGAGCTGTGCGTAGATCAAATGAAATGCCAAACATCCTTATAGCTCGAATACAACAAAGTAAAATACGTATTACATCTTGATCAAAAGGCTTCTTGAGCCGACATATACAAAATACAGCAATTACAAGCCAAGAAGCATGATTTTCAAGATTTGCCGACATGAAATAAAAGGCATCGCCGACGTAAATACAAAACAAAGCCAACATAAGAACGGATCCAAAACAAGCTTTCAAAACAGTCTAGGCGTCGCCGACGTCCTGCTCATCACTGTAGACGTCCCCGAACGGCCCGGGAGAGACGAGCTCCCGTTCCGTTCATTTGGGGTCACTACAGCTCAGGACTCTCAAATTTGTCACGGTTCTAAGTCTGAACCAAAGAGTCCAAATCCGGCAAATCGTTTTGAGAAAAAAAAAACAGATTTTTGAAAGAAGTGCCAAACATGGACTGCTTTGCCAGATACAGAGTCGCCACCTAAATGTTTTTTAATGGGAAATTTAGGAAACCCTGACTCGGTGCCAAAAGGCCACGTGTCCGTCATCACCAAAGTTGCCTCGGCTCGGGAACTTGGGTACGATTGGGGAAGGTCACTTCGTGAGCACCCCCATGAAAATGACAAATGCATGATCCACATTTTAGCTATGTATGACCTTGAAACAACTATTGATTGAAACAATAGTACTATACTTAATGCAACACATGCAAAATGCAACTATAGTAGGCTCGGCTATTCTAAGATGGCATATGAAATGCTACAACTATCATGTATTCAATTTGGAATTGAAAGTACAATGCAGTTAGTATGATGCGCCGAGCCCGGTGCATGCAAAACAGATGAATGATGCAAACATGCTGTCATACTGTATGCTAATTTAAACATGCCCTAATCTAACCATCATAAGCGGATAAATAAAAGGGAGAAAGACGTGGAGTTGGAAGACATACAACACACGCACGCACACTTATTACAGTTATGCCCTCGCGCAGAGGGTCCGAATAAATAATACAGTCCCGAATAAAAGAATATTACAGTCCAAATAATACAGTCTAAATAATATACAAATTCCTAATTACTTAACAAATTAACTAAGAAAACTGTAAAACTGGCATGCAAGCCAGGGACTGCCTTGTTTCTGATGGATGATGCATGTCCGGGTTGTCTTGCGCGGAAATCTACCGGGATGCCCCAATCAGCCTCTGTTTAGCAGTTATTCTTGGAAAGCGTGCCAAACTCCAGAAGTTCACTGATTCTTCATTTTGCTGCAACAGAGAGCAGGAAAGGGGCATAGCAATGTATTTTCATAAATATATGCATACCTCGATCCTCGTGCCACCAATCACGCATACCAAGGCATGATGGCCGAGGAGCCGAATTGCACAATTCAATATAGAATGAATGTGCATGAAATCACAACAAGACCTAACTCCATCATGGGTGATCCGGAGTGTCAGTGACTGGGGAATTGAGATACATTCTGTCACTCAGAGAACGAAATGCACCTCGTTTCCTGTGCCCGGACTAACTCCTATCCCGAATATGATGCAATATGCATGACATGCATGAATGCAACTAAGATACAATCCTAACATACACAATGCTATGGAATGACATGCCTCGAAATGCGTGCACACGGGCACGCAAACCGAGAAAATGACATACGCAATGCAAATGACATGAAACTATGATATGGGCTTATACCAACATGAGAGAGCCTCAGCCACACTCACATAAGAGGCCGATGAATACAAATGAAGTGCCTCGAAATGCGTGCACACGGGCACGCAAACCGAGACAACCGAGACAATGGCATATGCAATGCAAATGACATGAAAATGGCATATAGAATGCAACATGGACTTATACTAACATGAGAGAGCCTCAGCCACACTCACATAAGAGGCCGATGAATACAAATAAAGTGCCTCGAAATGCGTGCACACGGGCACGCAAACCGAGGCAATGGCATACGCAATGCAAATGA